CGTGTACCAGTCTTTTTGGACTGCAAATAAACAGAGGAAGTGTCATGGCATGATAAGGACCTGCATGGGATGTACCACCTACAGATAACTGAGGTGGCTGACACTGGGAAATCCTACCAGTGGCTGGAAAAGGCTGGCCTATCAGTCAGCACTGAGGCACTGATCTTAGCAGCACAAGAACAAGCACTGAGTACAATCAAAGCAGGGGTCTACCACACCAGACAGGACCCCAGGTGCAGACTGCACAAAAAGGCCTCAGGGATAGTCCAACACACAGTGGCAGGATGTAAAATGCAGGCAGGAACAGCATCTACTGAACAGCACAACCAAGTGGCTGGCACTGTGTACAGAAACATCTGTGTTGCGCATGGGCTAGACCCTCCCAAGTCCAGATGGGAGAATCCTCTGAAGATTGTGGAGAATAACAGGGCTGAGGTCCTGTGGGTCATCCAGGTCCAGACAGACAGGAAGGTATGGGCAAACCAACCAGACATTGTGATAGTAGACAAGGAAAAGAAGGAGGTAGTGGTGATAGACATGGCAGTTCCAAATGACATCAAGAAGAAGGAGTATGAGAAACTGGAAAAGTACCAAGGCCTGAAAAAGGAATCGGAGTGGACAGCTAAGATACTGTGCAGAACTATCAAACTCCCTCTGGTAGAGGACCCTCAGATTAACAAGAAACCCTCTAGGTCTTCATTTGCTTTGTAAAAACTAAAATCTATTAAGAATCTGGATCTCACTATATTCACAAATACATCAACTAACATCAACATCTAAGAACTCTTCCACTTTCCTCCTCCTACTTACATACACTGCCATCTTTGTTCTGTCAGATATATTTAAACCCACAAATAAAAACCTGTTTAGTTATCACCTCACTAATACTATGAAAAATCCATTCCAGTAAAATAAACAAGGATGATCACACTCTAAAAACAATGATAGACTGTCTCCCTCTAATCACAAAAAGGACACCTATCCTCTACACTGTCATTAATAACAGAAATAAACATCTTAACAGTTACAGTACCAGGGAGAATCCTCCACTGTAAATCTGCATGTTACTTCATCAAAGGAGGCTTATATAAAGGATTCAGGACTGAGTCTCAGATTAGCTCTCCATGGGGTGTCACTGCAGCCATTTAATTCCCATTTAATGATTTACTGTCTTTACCATCAGCCTATGCAAAGTTTGTTCCGAGGCATTGTCTAAAGAAGTACTTAACAGGGTTGAGGGAATCTACAAATTGACTCGAACAATTTTTAAAATCTGCAACCAGTTCAATCCCAGGATACGAATCAGCATTGTCTGGAAACAGAATTGTTACAATAACCCCAAATTTCCTAATCTCAGAAGAATCTAAGATCTGAGAGCTGCTGCTGGATTGTAGAAAACGAATAATCTTCTTCTGTCTATTCTTCCACCCTAGAAAAAAAGAAGTGAGACAGAGCAAAGTGATCTGACCAGAGCTCCCTATGCTGTTACACCGAAAAGGTTGGCTAAAACCGCTTTTTTAGATTTGAAGGAATCAAAAACCTTTTAGATTTCCTGTAGAATCTACCATGTGCTGTAGTTCTACTATCTCGGTCTCTAGATCTTTTAAGGACCTAGTTATGTCTCTGGTTACATTACAAGTGTATTGCTGGAACAGCTGTTTGATCTGACAAGTCCCACCACTGCTCAATGCACCTAAAATCAAATTGGCAGAAATATTCAAACACAGCTCTAAAACCTTTATAATGTAGCAGGGAGGTGTTAAAATGCCAAAATGCACAATTAGATATTATAGTGCTCAGAAAAACCTACTGGACTGATATAACAACCTTTAAAAACAGTGGCCAGTTTGGCCAAATAGAACATATTATCTTTAGACCTACTGAAGGCGTACTGTCTGTGAGTTTTATGAAAACTCCTCCATATATCAACCAGCTCATGTGTTTCTATTAGCTGCCTTAATTTGTGCGATGAAGCGGAATGAGGTTCCTGATGATACCTATCTAATTTGGGGTTTTCTATGCAATTAAAATCGCCCCCTATAAAAAGATGTTCATCACAACCACAGTTTTCAACAACACATAAAACATTCAAAACATAATCGTTCCACCCCATTTGATGGCACATATACTTTAACAAAAACCAATTTCACATTTTCATACTGCACTTGAACTTTCAGTAAACAGCCTTTTATTATTTCATCCATTTCACATGAAGAAGGCAGAAGGTTTTTTGAAAAAATAATACCAACTCCAACACTAGAGCTGGACTTATGGCTCAGAAAGACCTCACCATCACACTCTTTTTTTCCAATCACTTTTATTTTTTGTGTTGCTACGTGTCTTGAACCAGGATTTCATCTAACCTTGCCATTCAAGTTTAAGGCCATTTACCGTTTACCCTCTTCACGAATGACTGTCTTCATGCAGAACCAGGTCAAATGTCCCTCCATGCCACAACCAAAACACTTCATGGTTTCCGACATAGCAAAAACCATGCTCATAAACCCTTAAAATTTAAAATTAAAAGACCAATTCAATGAAGACCTGTCTCCTATGACACACAACATGTTTAAGCTGCAGGGGATTTACAGCCCAGAGAAACCATTTTGATCAGAAAAACCTTCTGGTCTGTACCTGGAGAGCCCTTATCCAACACGGCATATTTAATAAATGGGGGAGCATTACAAATGGTTATTTTCCTAGCCGGACTAACCAGTGGAAGAACTGGAGTGAACATGTCTTGAATGACTATACCCAATTCAACCACATCACTAACTTTAGTCATATTGTTCAGAAAGGTGACGTTAGCAACATTAATTCGGGAAGCAGACTTCACACTGCCGTAACCCACTACTTCTCCAACCACCAGACTTGCTTCCTCCACGGAGCAGCTGACAGCTGGTACGAGCTTGATGGTGTGTCGGCACGGCAACTTCTAAAACTCCGTATCACCATCCAAAACAGGCATATTGCCCCTTGGAATTGGTAGCTAATGCTGCCCAAAAACATTACAGTGCCTCAGACAGATGCACCACCTAAAGAAAAAAATAAAACTATGTGAAAAAGAAGAAAAGCACAAAAAGGCAAAAAGGTATAAAACCAGACACAGTAGAACGCTCGCTGCAGCCCTTCTTCCACTCACTCACCATCCACTCAGAGAGAGAGAGAGAATAAACCATACAAATATAATACAGTCATAGATCACAGTTAAAAAGTGGTGCTGTAGTACTAGTTTACTGTATATTGATAATAGCGCTACAATGTAATAACATAATCAGTTAACATGCACCTTCTATTTTGTTTCTCCAACAAAAGGGGATTATTGACAGCAATGTAGAAGTAAGAAAAACTCTAAATTAATATTTGGCAGATTTTTTATTTTATTTATTTTTGCATAGTAGCATTTCAAATTGCTATCCTGAATATGTCTTTGCATCTGACCTTGTACCACAGTATGTGTGTACTTTATTAGCTAGCACTGTGTTATGTTGCACATCCAGCAAGAGCCCATCATTCCTCCCGAGCACTGCTATAGCGGTCCCTGGGGGTGAATTTAATTGATGGGCCTCTGCAGTGCATGCTATTTTTAGTGGTTTGCAGTTACAATTTTTAATTTGTATTAAAATCTGTGTTTTGGAGCTGGACTTCCCAACAACACCACCTTGTATTATGTTTGCCATCTCCGTCAGATCTACAGCAGCTTGCATATCTGTTTATACCTTGTGTTTATATCTAAAAAAACAACATTTCCATTATAGCTGGCTGCACCATTAGTACAAAGGACAGATACTCAACA